GGCGCTACTTAAGTTTGCTGGCCCCATATATTTCGCCAAACCTCATGTTTCCGGGCTGGTTTGCGCCCTGATTACGAAAAAGCTTACTATCCTAGCCCGCGAAAATGCTATTTAGGGAAAAATTAATTTGAATATCAGGAAAATTCCATTTTACTGGCGCTTGCGAAAAAACTCGTATTTTTGTGGGTTTTTAACTAAATACATAAACAAAAACTGGTTTACCAAGAAAAAATAAGCTTGTAGCATTGTCAGGCAGCGGGCGCGTCGCTTCGGATGGGCTGCCGCTCCACTCTTCGAAATCGGGGCGCCTGGCCGCTGCGCGCCTCGGGCGCCCCGATTTCTGGAAACCCTGTACGAGCTCGCACCCATCCGAAGCGACTAGGCCCCGGGGTGGCACGAAGCCTTATTTTAGGAAAAAAACGAACGCAAGGGATAAGCCTTCTTGGAAATAGGGTTTTCCCCCGTTTTATAGGCCTCCAACTTCAACGCCCTAGTTAACCCCTTGAAGCTCAAACCATGAAAACTGACAATGAAATTTGTTTTTCCCTTCAAAACAAAACTTTCACGATTCGGGATAGTGTTTTTCGTAATCAGCGCAAAAAACTAGCCCGGAAACATGAGCTTTTGGCGAAATATAAGTGGGGCCAGCAAACTTAAGTAGCGCCAAAAAATGTTTTAATTGTCAGCGTACCGACCATTTTCCAGATCTCTTGCCCGACTCATCACTTGTTGCCTGACGATGGTCCGCTTCCCGCCGCGCGAGCGCATCCGGCGACCTTTCCATGACACACGTCTCGAGTACGATCCCCAACTATCACAGGTTCGATATTTCGATTTGGCCTGGCTTTAGACAACAATTGCAACAATTTCAACGGTTCTTTTTGCAGGTTGAAGGGATGCTGCTCGGCTGCCCTTCCTGCAAACACCCATACGATGGATTTCCAGGAGGACTCCACGCACCGTTTCGCGTTATCCGCTGGAAAAATACGTGGACGCCATTCGTCGTCAAGTGCTACAGCTGCGTCGATGAAGAGAAGGCGCGGATCGCTTGGTGCCTACTCGACCTGACCAAGACTAAAGGCCTGTACAAGCAGTTCAACGGCTACGTCGCCGACGGCCATGTGACGCCGCCAAAATGCACACTGTGTCTTCAGGATTACCTAGGAAATCGCCAACCGATGGCATTGAAGTGCGGCTTCGTCATGTGCGGCGTGTGCATCAAAGCCAGGACGTATGTACCACCAATATGCCCTTTCTGCGCCTCGGATTTCTTCGATGTAGACCTTCGTGTGGTACACTATGATGTACCTCTTACCTGCGTATATCGATCTCTGGTCGTCAAAATTGCTCTGCACAATGCTCGCGTTGCCGGCAACAGGCTTCAGCATCACGCGGAGACTGAAAAACACAATCAGCCAAGGAAAGAAATTGCAAACGCCCCACCGATTTTGTGCGAGAATTGCTATAACGCAAGGTCTATCGAGGACGTCTTCAAATGCACGGAATGCGATGTGCGCGTATGCGGCGCCTGTGCTTTTCGATATCACGCGGAACATCGCGAATCTACTGTTGATCTCCTCGACGTCGAGATTCAGAAATTGAAGGGGGATGTCATCGCGAACTTCAAGAATGTCTCTGATTGCTACAGACGTGACCTTCGCGGGCATAGCGCAGAATTGTTCAAGGCCATGGACTCGCTTGACGTGAAATTCGGCCGTTCTGCTGAGCGGTTGAACGGCCAGAAGACTATGTGGCTCGCGGGAGTGACCGGAAAGGAGCTGAACGAGGTGTCGGCCGATTTCGAGAGCCATTGCGAGGAGTTGACGCCGGTGATACGCAAGGTTACGCACCAGATACAGGATTTGACTGATCGACTTGCCTAGAATTTGTTGCTTTGTTTGTTTGATTGTTTTCGAAATAAAATTGTTCAGTTTTGGCGATGCTTCCTACAGTTGGTCTAAAAACCTCAGAATTCAGATTGACTTTCTTTCGAAATATCGACGGCGATCGAATGTTCTGATTTGCATTTAGCAGGTAAGCCGAAATATGACATGTTTTAGTTATGGTTCTGTCAATTCTAGCAATATTTGAGGGCAAAAACTGTTGAAATAACGTACAAATGAGTTTGAAGGTTCGAAATCATGGCCAAGATTGATCATTTAGCTTTCATAGCGAAAATTTCTAAGTTTCAAAAAGCTTATAAAATTCTGGTTTGGAAATCAGAGAAAAACATTATATATCCCGCGGCTAGGTATTATAAAGTTGGTACCCAATTTGCGGGTTTCGTTGCCGCCGCGAATGATGCGAGAAAGTGGATTTTAGCCATAACATATTGTTTTTAGTAGAACAAAAATTCCGAAGTTGATTGATACCGGAGTTTGCAATACCTAACTGGACGCTTAGAAAAATATGCTGATCCGGGACCCCCCGGGGAAAAATGCCAAAAAGGAGCCGCAAAAAGCCTTTAGCTATTTTAATTAACTTTACGTCTTTTAGCTGGTTTCTCCCATTTTTCGTTGCGGCCCAAACCATTGCTTGAGTTGCCGTGCATAGAGGGGTGTCAGCGTTGACCGCCGTCCAGGGGCGGCACACAGCATTCCACGGAGGCACGGATAGGGACCCCCGGGCCGCGGCGCAATCGGTTAGCGCGATCCCAAATCTCAAACAGAGGGTCCGGGTCTGACCCCCGGCACCAACGTGCAACCGCTATTTCTCCCCAAAACCTTTGCCAAGCTTTTGCGTTTTGCTTAAAAACCAGTTCTTTATCCATTGAAAACTGCTAAAACACAAAGGATCTGGAAAATTAACCCGGATCAAAAAAGAGACGGTTGATCCACTGGCGTACATTTCCGCAAAACAGTCACTTGGAGCCATTTTATGGGTCGATTTCACTCCACCGGGGTAATCGACCTTGATTTACCAAATCTAGGGTCGGCTTTCAGCGACAATGCTTGGTTCTGCGCTATTTAAACCGCACAAAAATCCTGAAACTGAACTTCAAAGACCATCACAAAAAAAGTACCGGAATAGATTTTCGATAGTTAGGCCTCAAAATCTGCGCCTTGGCGTTCAGTGTATTTAAATCTAATTGAGTTTCTAATTTTTCATTATACTGGAGAAAATCCAGTTTTATCCAAAAGTTTGTTCATTTCTGAACAAAAACGTAGCGAGCTACGCCGTCCCCTGTGCAAGGGAGCCTGCCGTAGCCCAAAAGCTATCCGTGCCTGCCTGTTTGTGCTTTTCCGGAATGGCGTGGGCATTTATGGCCAACAAGAGAAGAGCTGGTAGAGAGGATAGAGCAGTGTACGGGCAGATTACCAATTTGTAATTAGACTTTTCTTTGTGAGGTTTTTTAATAAGTTATAAAAGTTCAACATTTTGAGCAAAATTGGTATATTCTGGCAAAATTTTGTAAATTTCAAACTGTATGAAATTCTTGATTAAAAATAAGGAAAAACAATCTACCTTCCCGCTTCGTTGTGTTATAAATCTGATACCCAAGTAAAGAGGTTTCGTTTCCGCCGCCAGTAATGCGAGTGTTTCTTTAAATTTGCTAATTTACTGATTGAATATGAGGTTTACTATAAACTAAATAATAACTGGTTTATAAACTAAATCGATTTTAGTGAAAATTGCCGTAGCCAGTCGCTAAGCGAAATTCGGATTTTTCTATGTCTAAATGCAGCAGAAATGGTTAAAAAATTCGATCAAAAACGGATTTTTGTTTAGTCCGGACACGGCAATTGAACCCCTTTCAGTTTAAATCTTCGCATCGACAATTTCGAAGAGCGGTTCGACGTCATCCATTTTTGGGCGTTCTTCTTTCACGGCCGGCGTCCCTCGAAGCACCCAGAAGTTTTTCTGCTTGCCAGACGACGAGCTTGAATGGGCTAACATTTTTGAGGAGCCGGGTCCCCTTTACCTTCTCAAATATTAGCGACCCTTTGGGTCAGTGTGTGTGGAAGGTAATTCTTCTTCTACTTCTGCAGCGGCTTGCATTGGTTATCGTCGCGTGCAGATATCGGCTTTCCGGGCCGGCATAGCTTTGCCATGCTATTCTCGCGCCAATCATGTTGCGATGTTTCAGGGGCATATTCTTCTATGTTTCATAAGCTCGTCACGAGAGGTGGGCGTTGAACGTTCGGGTAGAAAAACAGTTTTCATATTTTCTCGACCTGAAATAAAAGCTCGTTTTGTTTAAAGGGATACCGACGGCACCGGTCAATCACCCCGCATCGACTTTTTGGCACTTAGCCAGCAGGGCAGAGAACACGCCCAGGGGCGAGACGCAGAGACATTTTCTTTCCCTCGCGTCATCGGGTACGTATGCCGTCGTTATCCCTTTAAGACTTACTAAGGTTCTTCGTTTTTTCGTAAAAGGTTTCGTTAGAATTTTTTTAGCGTGTGCGGGATCCCAATTTTTTATTAGAAATCCAATTTTCTAATAAAAATAAAAGTATTTGAACTGGGTTCCTATGCCTGAGCTTAACAATTTTAAAAAGCTTAAAAAGATAAAAATATCGGGTTTTTAGCCTGAATTTCAAATTTTACAATTTTTAACCATTTTTAGAACCTTCTAAACATTTTTTCTAAATAGTTTTCCTATCTGAATCATGACTAAATTTTACAGATTTACAAAGAATCAATTAAAATGCAACTTATGGAATTAAATATTTCAATTAAACTTCTGGGAGAAAAATGAGGATCCCGAAAAACCGCACTGCCCCCCGCAAATGCCAGAGATCCGCAAAGGTTTTGAAGCACTTTGAAGCACAGGTAGCGATTTCGAAGTGAGCGTAGTCTCCACTTTAAGCTCTTTTTACCTAGAAAAATCTTGAAATATTTTGTTTTCAAAATTATGAGGATGACGATCCCCCATAATGATTCAGAAGCTGCTTCCGGCTTCACCACATTCTCGTCAAGGCAGACACGCGCCCCGGATCCCACGCGCCACTCATCCGGCGGCTCATTTTTCGTCGCGTCTCATCGTCACTTTGCTCGTCTTCAGGACGTCACCCCCCAAATCCGACCCCGGTTCCGCTAATTTTGGCATTGAGCGTGCGGTGTTGCCGATTTAGGGGGGTTGCCCTCCTAGAAGGCAACGATTTTGCATAATTGTGCTCTCCTTGCGCCGGTGTTTCTAGGCGCAAATTGCCCGATCTCCGCATTGCTGACGACAAGACGATGTAGCGGCGTTCACCGAAAAACATACGGGCTTTGTAGAGGGCGTGCAAGCTCTTAGAGCGATTTTTCTGTGGTTAGCGATCAGAGATTTCGTAGCTCGTTTCCGGCTACGCTCTATTTGGAGGGTTTTAAAAAGCTTGCCGCCACCGTCAAGTGAAAGCTCTGAAACTTTGCTATAATTAAAAAGGTTAAAAAGAGGTATAAGGCGGTGAAAGGTTACAAAATAGCTGTTTTATTCAACTTTAGAGCTGTTCTAGTTAAAATAAAATAATATATTATTATCCTGTTTTGCTAGCCTATTTTAATTTTTTAGAAGCTTTCTCTCTATTATTTTCGATTTTTTTGATATATTATTAATGCTTTGAATTTAATATACAAATTACAACATTCACACTGCCAATTCTGGATTCCTATCTTTTTTGCTAACATTCGAGATCATGGGCTATTTGCTCTGCTGTGAGCTGTCAATCTCGCTTTTACGGCGCATACCCCATAAAAGGCCTGTCCCTACACCCGCACCCACCCGCCTCATTGGCTCAGTGGCAGAGCGTCTGTCTAGTAAACAGAAGGTCGCTGGTTCGATTCCAGCATGAGGCACCAACTTTTTGCTTTTTGGCCTGGGGAGCTGGGAGTGATGGATATGCTTAGTAATCATATTTTTACGTATTCTAAAAATGACGTTTGGCCCTTATTTTGCTGTTTCACTTTATGAAAATGCTCATTAAAACGACGATAGTTAACAAACAATGTTTTGACAATTTGAAAATATCTGTTAAGGTGTTGAATGTACTTCAACGTTAGGAGACGTGTTTGTTTTTGCTTTTTTGCACGTATTTGTAGACATTAAAGGTACCAGAAAGTCAGGATACGAATTTTTGGCAACAAACCAACGCCTCCCACACAGTAGTTATTTTCAGCGTTTCGCAAGTTTGTCTTCGACATGACGTCCCTAAAACTCGCATCGTTGTGGCCCACCTGACTGCCCGAGGGCCCTTCAGAGTTGCCATTTTCGCAGGGCAGCGAGGATAGCTCTATGCCGGGGGTACTTACCGAGGCCTCCGCAATAGTCGATGGTAGCAGCGGGGCTGGTGTTTGGTTTTGCGGTTCTTGTTATTTTGGTCGGTTTTAAAAGCGTTCTCAAGGATAGGTTTTAAAAGAATTGTAAACTTGACTGTTTTCTCTCGAATTGTCATGTCACACTACCTTTAAAGGTATCAGAAAAGTGGAAAATCTAGCCCCGCTATGGGTCAGCTTTTCGCTCTTGCCAACCGGTTTGCTCTTTCTTTGGTCGTTGATATACGGTTGGCAACTTCATGTCACTCTCGCTTTAAAGGGATAGAAATCGCTACAATCGACCCCCTATTTCGACTAGGTATCGACAGCTACGAATCACTCCAGAAGACGCTGATTCTTAATTTTCTGACATCCACGTATCGTCGAACAGTAAAGCTAGCTGGTGTACGTCATCTGACGGAACTGATTATCGGGACCTAGCCGCCCGTCGGGGGTCGATTCCTGCGCTTTCGAGCCCCTTTAGTCGATTTTTTATTTGTATAGTCTCGTGCGTGCGTAACTTGGCGCGAAGCGTAGTGGTCGATACCTAGTTAGTTCAGCGGGTCGAATTTCGCGCTTCCTAGTGCTTTAATTTTTTGGTTTTGGATTTAAGGCAAAAATCCTACCACGCAGAGTGTATTTT